CCCGCACGAAAGAAACCGCGCTTCGAGGAACGCGGGATGCGATGCATATTAAGCGCTTAACCTCCTCTTTTTGCCATCTTGAACCGAAGCGAGCAAGTTTTTCGATCCGGTTGATCCACCTCCTGACTGACCGCTTCCAAGCTTTTTACGGAAATTTTTCGCTCCTCTCGGTCTTGTTGCGAGATTGAATGTTAGATGTGGCAGGTGAACACGAACGAGTCGAGCCACTGTGATAACTAATCTTTGAAATTGTTCGCGTGGACAGGGCCGGCGCTAGGCTGCTTGGCGCCCCTTTGTGCATCTTCAGAATTATACACTGTTGTTGGAACATAAAAGTGAACATAATCAGGTTTTTGTATTATCTTTGGAAAAAATAATAATGACAAGTTCAACTTTTGTTGCATGTAACATTATTATTATTGCTATTATAATATTTAGCATTGATTAATTTGTTTTTTAATTAATTTGTAATTAAAAGCAGATTGTAATTAATAACTTTTATTATAATTCTTATAATAGAAGTTTTTCGTATTTAGTAAAGTTTCGAATAAGTCCTTCGATATTTTTCATTTTCATTTTTAATACTTTTAATAATCTTGAACAGAATGATAAAATTCTTAGTTTGGTTATGTTGGTTGGTTTTTAAAAAGACATTATATTAATCGCATAAATGAATAGGTAAAATGTCTTTGCTCAGTCTAGCATCATATAGATTAATAGATTATATGGATTAACATTAGATCAACATTGATAAGAAGTGGTATAACGTGGCAACATCGAGCCACGTTGAAACAATCTCATCTATATGCAAATTTATGTGCTTTCGAGTATATTAGCGCAAAAGTATGGACGTATTTGTGTTAATGATATCGGAAGGAACACGGGTAAAAAACTTGTTTGCGACTGATTGCATTTCTTAAGAGAATCTGTTATAAAATTCGCTGGATGTGGTAATTTTAATATCCTGGGGCGGAGTCGTGTGCAACGTGGAGACACGTTGCGACGTTTCTGAAGTATCGTTTGGCGACATCTGACGGGGAAGTGACGTGCACTGCTTTGGAAATTAAAAATCTGCTCGCGACATCGTGACGCCTTGATATTGAACTTTGATTCTCGATTCTAAGATAACTGGATGGAAACCTATGTATATATATATATATATATATATATATATTCACGTCAAAGTGACGTTGTCTTTATCGATAGATAGGCACAATTCGAAATTTGTAAATTTTAGATGCGAATTAAATTTTTTTATCAAATTGATTAAATTTATTCTGATTTTTTTAAAAAAAATTTTAATTCTTAAGAGAAGATTAAGTAATATGGAAAATTTTAATTCACAAATAATAGCAAAATAAATATTAATTCAACGTTAAAACTTTCCACGCTTTATTTCGTACGAGAATTTTTCCATCAACTCTCTGCTTTCATTTTAAACGGCTTCTATCTAGCGGAACACACATCGGATCGAATCAGATCGGAATCGGGAACGGGTCGACCGGTTCGGAAAGGAAATCGTCGAAAATTCCCCGATGGCTGTAAAGGAGATTAGCCAGGGCGGAAGGAGGACGTCAGAGAGCGGCGACATCCAATTAGAGGGAGTACGTGCTCGGACACTAACGAGTTTTAATGGACTCGGTCCGAATGGTGGCGTGGCGGAGTGGCGCATTGGCAGGTCGCGTCAATCAGATAGCGAAACGCGGCGGACACAGAGGGTCGCTCAAGTGCCGATATCCTCCGATCCGGCTTCCTGCTTTAATTTAATTGGACGATCGCCAGTCGCGCGTGCCACCTGATAAATAATTAACGCGTTTGGGCCGGGATCGATTATCAAACTGCCTGCCCTAACCGAGCGAGGGAGAGAGCCATTGTCGGGGAGATCCTAGTGCACCCTAGTCGTTGCCTAGTGTTCCCTAGGATTGTATCGACTGAATTATCCTCTCGGCTTAAACTTTTTATTCGTATATTAATTATGTCGTGTGTATCAGTAGATATTATTTATGTTGAATTAAGTTGAAACAAATGATAGAAAAATATTTATTAATATTTATTAGTATTATTATTTTTTGCAATTTTATTAACATATCTAAAGATTAATTGATATTCCTTCGTTCTACTTGTTTTCGATTATTGTGGGAGATCTAGTGCATTCTAGTCATTGTTTAATGCTCTCTAGAATGTGTATCTTTGACACACGTGATATTGAAACAGAACTGGGAAAAATTTGAAGAAAACTCAAATATTTTCATAAACTAATACTATTTGAAGATATATTTCATTTATATCTAAATCATGAATAAATTATTTAAATTCAAGAAAGAAATTTAAATAATTGAAAAGGAAAATTATTAGCAATTTTTTTTTATTATTTGAGTATTTTAATGTTGATCACTATATTAATTTTTGTGTTATGTAATCTGTTGAAAAATTATTTATCTGTTATGAAGGCAGTCATAGCTAAAAAGCTAGTACTTTCTAGAAAATATCTATATCTCAATAACACTACAATTGCTTTATTTGCCAAAGAGGAATGATCTCGTTAAAATGTAAAGTAGATGGCGTTACATCGCCTGTCGGCCATTTATCCAAGAATTTAGTTTCCAAAGTGGTTTGTATTACCACGTGTATACTCCTCGTCCAATCCATACGACAGTTATATTTCTTCATTCTATTTCGACGAGGTAACAAATACGCCACTTACGTTTCCAATATTCATTCGATTATTATCGATACACGACGTGATTGTGGTAAGTCATTTTTATGAACTGGCATCGATTCTTGATAAATATAACTATATATGCAAATCATGATAATAATTGAGCGAATAAAAATTGATCAAGGAGATACATACAATGAATAATTAAATAATAATATAAAAAAAAGTGAATTATCATCTAGAATAATGTACTTCAACTGCGTTTTATATTGCTATTAATAGCGGTTTTAAAATTGAAAAAGTGAAAAAAATTAGTATCACGTGTGCATTGGATAATGATTCGATGAATGCTTTTTTCAAAAATAAAAATTAATACGAGTAATGGCATAATACATTTTTATGGTGATTGCTTATATCCATGAATAGCGATGAGATTAAGTAATTCGTAAGTAAATTTGAACTGATAAATTCGAAAATTATTAAGGCATTATCTTATTTGTATTATTTTATGGATAAATATTATTTGATTGTATATTAGTTTATTTGAATAAAAAAATGATTTTTATGTAATTTCTTATTTTATTATAATTTTTCAAATAATTTCCAATTCTTATAAATTCTTTACCATTATGAAAAGATTGCTTTTGTTTATCTTAATGATAGATTTATCATTATAAATGATCTTTTTTTTGAATGTTTCGAAAAGTTAAATATAAAATTTTAATTAAAATTTTAAAAGAGTGGAATTTTTAATTCAATATTCATAACAATTTGATCATCCACTTTATGTATCAAACTTAACTTTATCTCTATTCAATTTTAATTGGAGATAAAAAAAAGTGTTGATATCGATTATGAATAAAAATATAACAATACAAACGATACACTTGTAGTATCGTTAATTTAAAATTCGAATCAATTTTCGTCTCGAAGAAGAGGATAATAAAATATAATATAATAATAAAAGAGAGATGAATAATTGAAGAACCGATTTCTCGAAGCACGTAAATAGATTAAGTTAAAGAATAATAATATTTGAAATAATTGTATAATATAAGAATAATAGAAATAATTAAGAAACGACATATGAAGAATAATTGAATAAAAGGTATAAGAGAATAAGAGAATAAAATGTACAAAAAGTTAATATGGCGGAACAGGTGAACGGTTGATAATTAACCGTTTCATGAGAGAATTCTTTTTATATGGGAATCGATACAAAATAACCGATCGTTTAACCGTGTAATATTATCGAGTTCTTTTGGAGAATATGGATAAAAACGATGTCTGAAAACATTTTAATTCTGAAATTACATACAATAATATTCACATTATTATTGAATACTTAAGGATACATTCCAGAATTATGAATAATATAATTGTGTTCAATTGTATTATAAAAGAATTCAAATAATTAGATAATAAATTGAATTTTTATTACATTGCTTTTATGGCTATAAAATTAAATGTTTAAAGAAAGTTAAAAGTTAAAAAATTTTTCAGTTAATACAATGAAACTATGTATTTTGTTAAAGTATATGAATCTTAATGAGATTCCACTGCACAATTACAAGGTTAATTAAATACTTTGCAGAGAATACAAAGTATTAGCATATGAACAATTTTAATAAAAAAGTGCATGTAATTAATATTCATGATTTATATAGCATGTGTTAGAGATTGAAGAACATATAATACTAAAAGTATAATGTACATACCATTAACACACTTCAACAAGTACATATTAGTTTTTTTTACTGCATTATTATTTAAGTAAGTTCAGCACAATATCACAAAATAGACACTCTAATGTCTACTTGACTTTTATTTATAATTTTCATTTTTATTTTATTCCTATTTACACATAATTAGCAATTGTGCATTATTTAGTATAATATTAATTTTCGATATTATATTCATTTATTTTATTTCTTTTTATTTGTAAATTAAATATATTTATAAGAATCTTGTTATTTGTTAATTAATAATAATAATTATCATAGTTGTTACAAAATGATATATTTTCTCATCATCATAGAGAATCATTATATTTTATTTCTCTAAAACACTTCATATACTTTCTTCCTATCATTATAAAATCTTTCACTTCACACAACTTTACACAAACATTGTATAAATTTTCACAACAATTTTAAATATAAATTTTCAAATATTTCTTAATATAAAACTTTCATAAATATTTGTATCATAAATGTTCATAAAACATCTTTCAATTAAAAAAAATTTTCAAATTTTTATAAGTTTTCAAAAAATATTTGTATCACACATCTTCACAAACATTTATAACAACAATTAGACATAAATTTTCAAAAATTTACATAAACATTCCATAACACAAATTTTTCACGAACATTTATAATATAAATAACAATAAATTTTCATAAAATATTTATATCACAAATTTTTACAAACATTTTCATAAATTATCGAACATTCGATGCCACAACATGCAGCCCCTCAGGATACTGTCCTTCGATGCAATTTTTCCATGATAGGTCCGCATATATAACCGCGGCGAATATTGAGTATCGCGTAAAATTACTCAGAACGTAGGAGAAGGGATCGCCATTAAACATAATATACGAGCGGGTAATACATGGTTGATCTACTTTTTCGACACTTGGTCGCTCGTCTGTCGATTCCGCCTATGGAGAGGCGGCACTGGATCCTGACGATAATTTCTACATACACGAATTTTATCGGAAAAGAAAAAAAGGATAATGAATGATCGATGGCAGCGATACGAATGAAGCGGTTAATTTTTATGAGATGACCGCCGCGAATAATAATCCAATTATCTGCGAGAATAATCGTGATCGGTAACGTGATAGAGCGAGGAACATATCGTGCGGTTAATTGTTTCACTTGCGATGCTCGAAGTGAAGTTTTGAAAGTGTTAGAAAAGTGATATTATGAAGAAATAATTATCTAATATAATGATATTTCTTTTTTTTATTCATTTTAAATGGAATAAAAGTTCCTTTATATAGTAATATCTAAACTTTTTAGAATATCAGAACTTTATTAAAATATGAATTTGATGAATTATTTTTCTAAATATTAGAAAGAATATATACTTTACAAATGAATTACAAAATCAATATAGATAGAATAATAATATAGAATAGAAATTACGTACATATATAAATATTAACTTTTTTCTAAGCTTTTAACCTAAATTTATTAATGTTGAAGAATACATAAATAAATTAAATTCTAAGTTGCAATATAATATCAATCTTTTAGATTCATGATTATCTTAAATATATTACACGATTTTTCATTGGTAATCAATTTATGCTACTATTCTTAATAAATCTAACTAAATTTTGTGTTTATAATAAAAATTATAATCGCTTGATTCAGATTTCAAATTTCAAGGAGATAAAATATAACTTAAAATATGAATACATAGACATATATAACTTTTTATGAATTTACAAACATACATACATATACGTTCCATAACCTATTTTTTCCATTGACACCTCCGTTGATCGACCAATTATTCTTCGATCTTCTTTCCATCATTTTTCCTCAATAGCCGCAATAACTGTCTCGTCTTCCCTTGATAAACAAAATATTAAATTAATAAATTTTTTTATCATTCACTTTTTCGAATCACATAAATTCGGCTCGTAAAGTCACGGGAACAATACTAAATACTCTTTACCTATGCTGCGTAATTTATCGCTACAAACAGAACTTGTAGTATATCTACCTTTTTTCTTTTTCGAGAAATGAGGCAGACGACAACAGTAACGTAATGGCACCGTTGTTTCGTCAAGTTCCAAAGAGCTATATTATGAGTTCCAGATAAGAATTCACATGCGACCGGCATTCAAACCTCTCGACGAATAACTTCACCGTATAAAGCGTAACTTTAATCTCGCGCAAGAGTAGGGAACCATTCCATATAATCGAAGAAATGTTTGAACAGCGATCGATTGCTCGATCTTAACGGGTCGAAGAATGCCACTTATGCGCCGCCATGAATAGTATCGTCTGCTTAGGCTACTGGCCTCGCGCTAGTGCTCCCCTCTGGCGAGATCATGCGACGACATTCCGCGACTAGATTCCTGAATTTAATGGCGCCGCGGAACGGGACGAAAAACAGGGCATGATCGATAAGAGTTTAATATGCTGTAATTGGCGTCCACTGGAGATTCCTCGCTCGATATATGGTGTTTCTTGGTATACATACGCGACGCAATAATTTGTTCGGTTGTTTTTCGTCCAGGCATAGATTGTGCACGAACTTGTCAGTGAATAATGATAAATGTGATAATAAGGTAAAAGTTAGTGTAGTGTATAAATAATATAACGCCTCTTAGTAATAGAATTGTTTATGATTACAGATTATGGACTATTTGTATATAATGAAGATTAAGTTAAATATGCGTAAAGGTTTATATTGATTCAATTAGACAAATATAATTATTTCTATATTGCGATTCTATATACGGTTTTGTAGATAATAAAATGTAAAATATGAATTCTAGAATAGTTTGTGAGTTGATATTATCTATGATAGCAATAACCTATCTTACTCATATGTAGATAAATGAATTTTTTATTTAACATTTTGAGACTATGAATGTGTTGATGTTAGTGACATTCATTGATCGTATTTATATTAAAATTCATTTATACTAATAGACATTGTCTGTAGAGTCCGCATATATTATCTGTCAACAATTTCGCACGATCATACATTATATACTTTAGAGATGAGAAGCTAGTGTGCTATTTACAAACTTTTTGGCACAAAAAGGCTATTCACTTATTCTTTATTCGTATTGCATTGCATAAAGTAAAAAGATTATTATTATTGCTTCTATTCATGATTTATCTTCACTTTATTTTGTTTCAAAAAATCTCATTAATTTGTAGAAAAAATCAACTCAGCCAATAGATGTGATTATCAATTCATTTGATTCATCAATAATTTTATGACTTTTGGATATTATAGTGTAATTTGTTTCTGTAAAGTTGTTACAATTTTTTAGATATGATTGACAAAAGCCTATTAAAAAAAATATGAAATAAAATTTTTCATCTATCTAATTTTCAAAATTTTCTTTAATTCAATATATTTCCATTCATTATTAAAAAAAAATCTGTAAAAATTATTAAAAAGAGAATCACATGTACAATCAATTTAACTTTTTTAAGGATTCAGAAAAACAATCACATGTCTTTCATAAATTTAAAAGAAAATTTTATATAAAAGTGCGATAAAACATACATGAAAACACATAAAAATACACTGAAAATTTATCCAATAAATAAACGAAATAATATTTTACACATGATCATACCTATTTTTCCAATCCTATTATAAATCTAAAATCATAGAATATAACACACTAATACCAAGCTTCTCGTGTTTCTACGATAACAAAACAAAGCCCACGATAACGAAACAAGAAATCACGTCAAACGCACGCTAAATTACAGCTCCACAGGTTTAATAACAATTTCTTATCCGAGATCGACGCTAGGTGGCCATGGTGAGACAATAAACCTCTTTTACCATAAACCTGTCGTTTGGACACGTATTCACGCAGCTGTATCACGATGTAATTAATTTGCGTGATTCACGATACACTCTATAAATGCATGTATGTATAATTTTAAAACACATGAGATCTTACCGTATCTTTTTCTTTTTTTCTTTTTTTTTTTTTTTTTAAGAATGTCCTCTGCTAAATGCTCGAAGGTACATGTGACACACCTGTGCCAGATCGACTAACAAGCGTCACGGTTTCCGGAAATACAAGCTTTTACAATCGCCAGCTGCCCATTACATTTCCACTCGGCGATTCTTGCATCGTCTTCAGTCTGCAGCAAAAAAAAAAAGAAAAAGAGAAGAGAAATCGTAATCTGCTATTCAAAATAAGCTTTTAATTAACCAAGAAACTCGTTAAATCTCAAATTATTGAGATGATTAAGAGGAATTGTTTTTTGTTAAACTTTATTGTTCTGTTGTAAGAAGAGATAAAAAAAGGAATGTATAAAGGAATGTTTGTTTTATTAAAATACAAATAATATATATTTTAAGAAAAAAATATTGCGAAAGAAATATTTATAAAAATTGTTTGATATAACAAAATACACATTGTGTAATAATACTTGAATACATCACATGAAGAAATCATATAAAGATGATCTTTGTTTTTTTTTTTATTTCAAATAAAGTTATGTAATTTTTAATGTATCAACCGAAAAATGCTGATATTTATATTGAAAAATTTTTAATTTACAAATATTCTAATTCGAAATTCAACAAAGTATAAATTTTTCGACGCAAAATATTCTTTTTTTCAAAATAATGAAATACATCGATTATGAAAATTAAATTTCATATAAAAAAAAAAATTTAAAATTGATTTTTAAACAATATCTATAATTTTTCAATATATAAAAAAATTATATAAATATATAACATATATATTTATTACGTTTCTTTATATCAAACAATTTTTGTAAGAATATTTTCTTAATAATATTCTTTTCTTAAAGTATTTCACTGCATTATTAATAACAGGTACTCCAATATTCATTTGGAAACCAGTAACTTGTTATTCGTTACGCGATCATGATGGATAAGTTTGATAAAAATTGCTGTTAATTAGCGAGCGGGAATCGCGAAAATTTACGATAAAAACGAGAATGATAAGATCGTAGACGATACCGATATACGCCCATCTTTTCGCCTACAAATTGTTGCCTTCATTCGTGTAGTTGTTTCTCAGTAGAGGAATTTATGAATTGAAATTCTCGAGGCTTGAATTGTTTCTTGTGACGAGCGAGTGATTCGACTATTAAAATTTGAGGTTATGTTGTACTTTAAATGGATATTATATACCGCATTTATTATTAGTGAAACGTATTATCTGATATTTTTCTATTTTTCGAGATACATTGTAATATTTTAAATTCTATACGAGTTTTATCTTTGAAATAAGATTAGGAGACCTTATATGCTTATTAGTGATTTAAAATAAGGTATAATTTAATCTTTTAACATGGAGATTTCAAAGAAAATGATAAAATCTTTAATTTTTATATACGTTTTATACATAGCTAGACAGTATTTTAATTAAAGAAGGTAGCATAATTACAATACGATTTTCAACCAAATAGAATTTATTTTAATGTTTTGAGCGTATATACAAGATGATAAGAAAAAAAGATTTATATCTTTAAAGATAAATAGTAGATACCAAATAAAGAAAAAAAGTTTTAATAAAAATAATCGAAAAAGTAATACGTGCAATGTGAAACAATTTTAATTTTCATGGGAATAACTTGATCTTTCTTGATTAAATGTTTTCTAAAAATATTCTTTTATTTCCATACAAATTTAAAATCTTATCTCAAAATCACTCACTTAAAAATAAAATTGTTTATAATTTTGAAAATATTAATTTTATGATCTATGTTTGTTAATATTTTTTCACTACATTTGGTACTATTCTAATATTATTCTAAAAGTTACGAGAATCCATTTCTTTATATTTCTACATATAGTTAATAAAATTGTACAAGAAATTCACTAACCTATTAGCTTTTCTTATTCTTTAACAATTCCTTAAGAATGTCTCACATATTTATCAAATGTATATGTTTACACTATGTATAAAAATATTTTTCAAAAAACTGGACAATAGTATATCAATTGATTTCTGATGAACCTAACTTGATTATACTGAAAAATCCTCGATAAAAAATTTATCTTTATCGTTATTAGTTTTACTAAATTTAATTTCTAATATCACTTCAATTAACGTTTTATTTAAAATATGAAAATATTCATTCAATATTCACTTGATATCGTATCGAAACGTGCAATCGAGAAAATATCTCATTTTCACACCTGAGATTTGTCGCCAATGTTCAATCTTGTTTCACAACTTAATTGTATAAACGAACTACATAACCTCGCTAGATGGACGAGGATATGACCAACGACTAATTAGCACTTCGTTATCTAGCCTCGTAAATTTATTCCACCGGTGGCGTTGTTATCGCTGTATACGAGCACAATACACGAGCGTACACTGTCACGGATCTTTGAAAACACGATTTCCTCTCTTTTTCACCATGGTTTCCTACGATCTCGTAGCGTATCATAAGGCGTTCACTATCGAGAAACCTAACCTCTCTACGTTGGCCGGAAGTTATATTTAAGTCTACCGCTCACGAGTTACATATTGTTACTTATCGGGGTAAATGTGTGAGAATCAGACAGATACAAGACGACTTTAAATGATTTCCTTTGAATTCCATTGTTTTAACAGTTTTAAGGATGTTATGGAGACTAATTTTATGTTCCACTTCCGGCAAGAATCGTTATGGGTATGTTGGTATGTAGGAGTACTGCTTTTTCTTATTTTCCATAGTCGTTTTCCATAATTGAGTTGATAATCGAGACTAGTATGATATTCATGAGGTGCGTTTAACGATTATTAAAATTCTGATTCCTCAAGGAGATATAAAAGTAAGTTTATTAACCTTAGAGTGACTGATTCTGAAAATAATTATTTTAAAATTTTTGTTTTCCTTATAAATAATCTATTTTTAATATAATTTTTGTTCATATAAGATTTTGGTAAAGAATTCATGGATTTGTTTTCATTTTCGAAATTTTATATTGTAGATAATTCTAATTAAAAAATCTAAAATTTTTTCTAGCATCGATTTAAAAAAAAATTTATTGGAAAATGTTAATGTATCAATCATTAAATAAACTGAAATGAATGTAAATCAGGATAATGTTAAATATAATATATGATGTAATAACAAAGGAATTTTTAACGTAATCAAGATGACCCAACCGCCTTCGCATTTACGTGACCTACTTGATATCAATTGCTAAGAATCTTGGAGAATAATTCTTCTGTATCAGCCTTGGAAGAATTCATCCTTTCTCTATTGATCACAATCCATGTATAGAAAG